CTTATGCTATTTACATGCTGATGTGTAGTCAAATGCGATGGCGCCTATGCAACATCCCCCAATCCAACGCCGGCACTGCATTATCTTATAGCCACCCACTCACATGGCATGCACACATGCAAACCTGTGTACAGCGCGTAGTACAATTGAAGTCATCTCCATGAAAGTGATCCTCCCGCATTGCTATGGAAACCTTATTTATTCTTTTGTACTATTTTTTCTGCCTTTCCTTACTTTTTTACTTCCTAAGCAGAACACGCACACACAGCTACACAGACACACCGACACATGCATAAATTCCTAAGCTAACTAGAATAGAAGTTTAAACTCACCATTCACCATTATACAATAGATAATATGCAGTGTGCATAAAAACACATACATACATATGTATTATACGTACGCTTGTTGTACGCATTGTATGTACATATATACATATGTATGTATATGTCAGTGTGTAGTTGCCTAAGTACCATTAGTATTATAATAAATTCCTTTTGCTCCTCCTGCTCCCGCTCATGCCATTTTGTGTTGTTATTGATGTGTGAATACCACCAAACCATGTGTACGCTCGCTCACTCTCTATATCGTCTCTCGACTGTGCTCTTCTGTTCTCTGCTCTGCTCTTATCCGCAGGAGATACCACTGTCGCACGCCAGCGATATTTATCACATCGATTCGTTCATCTGGGATGCACCCAAGACGGCGATATTTGTTGGCTTGCAAAACGATTACATGTCCGAGCACAATTGGCAATTGCACCAACAACAGCAGCAGCAACAGCAACAAGCCTACATGCTGCAGCAAGCCCTACAGTCACAGCCACACCCACACGGTAGCCAGCAACAACTCGATGACAATGGCAATTGTAATGGTCAAAGACAGATCCTAGACCAAAATCAGAGCCAGAGCCAGAGCCAGAGCCAAAGTAATGGCGACGGCAGCACCAGCGGCGGCAGCGGCAGTGTCAGCGCCTTCAATAGCCACTACAGCAATCATAGAAGCATTGGCGGCGGTGGCGTTGGCGGTGGCGTTGGCGCTTACGTTGGCTGCCACACAACCAGCAAACAGGATGGCAATGATAATTTATATATTCATGGCTTGAATTGTGATAACGCAAATGGTTCCTGTTCCGCATGCACTTACCATCCGAACGTCGTCAATTTCAACGACGACGAATTCGTTATTGTAACTAATCGAAATGGCAGGGAATATCCGTTAGACGGCGGCTGTGATGCCGGCGCCTATCCGCCCGAGCTTGTGGCCAATAGCTATGGCTATGATGTGACACCGGTTTCAACAGATTCAATTACTTCCTCTAAATCATCACCGACAACTGCCACCAACTAAGCCGACAAGGCAAACCAAGCGTTGCGAATTGCGCAATTGTGACGCAATATAAATGTTAAATGCGGGTGAAAAACACCTATGAAAAATTTATAAATACGTACTGCTAAAAATAATGAAAAAAAAGAAAAAAAAAATTGACAAAGAATTTCAAAAAAAATTCCTCTAAATATAAAAAAAATTTTAAATAAAGTTAAATATTAAAAATAAAATCTAACTAAAGTGTCGATTTAGAAGCCGTATAGCAGTGAATTCTAACAGTATTGCAAAAATATAGAGTATGATATAATAAAATAAAATAAATAATAATAAAGTAATTCAACGTATTTCGTATCGCAAAATACCACACTAACAACTGCCTTTTCATTGCTAACAGTTATGCATTAGGGCACGAAAAGCTCAGCTGGCGCAACGTCAACATCACACAGATTACTTATACGCACTGACTAACTTTGTTATTCAACTACAATTAAGCATTTATTTTCTGTGCATACTCTCTGGCATATGTGTATGTATGTGATTACTAATATTTATGGTGTTTAATTTTATTAACTTTTTTATCCCCTATTACAACAAATAATTTACAGTTACACTTCGAAAATAACAAAAAATTACAAAAACACCTACATTTATTTTAAAATATTTTAAGGTTTCAGTATACATATAATTATTTTTAAATCTTGCAAATGTGTATATAATGGCATTCATAAATGAAAAACAAATATATATATTAATATTTTTCAATACATAATTTTAAGTTATTGTATAACATATTATATATAAGTATTTAATAATATAGTTAACTGTACTTTCATATCTATTTTATAATTTATATTATTTTTAGATAATAATTTATTTCGCATTAAATAAGATTTATTTATCTATTTCATAACATAAAATAGCGAACAAGCCTCCCAGCAAGCATTTAGTGTTAAGTTATAATCAGAAAAGTAGAATAAAAAGATTTATTAAGATATCTTGCTTAATAGCGTGAATATTTACTTGCTGAAATTAGTCGAGGCATTTGTTTTTAGTATTGTTGTGTGCCTGGCCAATAGTAAAAAGTTTCATAGAAAGCTAGTCATGCTGACCATTTTGATATATGTAAGTATAGTTTGTAAAGCTATATCAATCTCGTTCAGCTGTACATTGCATCCTGAGATTTATTTTGTATACAAAAGCCGACAAAAAAGGTCATTATACTCTGCAAGTGAAAAGCATAATTTTTATGTAAACAGCGGATTCCAACTTAGAGTTCGCTTTCAAGGCAATATTAATAAACTAAATTAATATAATGTAATAGAACCCACTATGTACAAGTATTTGTGACTATTTACTACAGTGGAGATATGCGATTGATTGAAAAATAACCAATCTACAAGCTTTACTACAAATTCTTAAAATGGAAAAAGGCCAGATATGGGTACACACTTTCAAAAAACTATTAATATTAAGTGGAATTATAAGCTAATCTTCATTGGATGAAATACAAAATAGTTTAAGTGCATCCATCACTCAAACTACTAACAAAATTTCAAAAACTTCAATTTCCATTTTCACTTAACATGATTGCTTATTTTGAGGTATGGAATATTGGATTAAATTCACTTCATTTCGCCTATATCCAAATGAAACTTAACGGAAATTACAGTTGCGTTAGAGCATACATATATATGTATATACATATTTACAGAAAAAAAACCAATGCTCAACAAGTTGCCTTTCTGAAACAAATACCGAAAATAAACATTTGGAATTTCCACTGCAAATAATTGTGCAAGCATATGTACCCTATGGGCTTACTTATAAATTTGAACGAGAAGACTTCTAGTATAGATTATGTTATTTCTTCTTCGTTTGTTCTGTAAGAAAAACAGTTAAGTATTAGTGATAGCAAGTAATGGTCAAAGAGGGACCTCAGTCAGTATTTGAAGTAAGTTTTTTTGAAAGATAAATATTAGTTTATGTGAAGCTGCATACTGTGCAAATGCGAACTTTTTCTTAGCATAGACCTAGTTCATGGTTAAGATTCACGACAAGAAACTTAATGATAGGATTAAAGAAGATATATATATGTTATACAATAGTATGCAAGAAAATATGCAATATTTCCACTATGAAATAAAATATTGACATCAAAGTGAACCCATTTTGAAATGAATTCTAACAGAATTATTTTTGAAAAGGACTATCTGCCAGCGTTTTAAAACATATATTTTATAAAACTTAGAGGATAAATAAATTATTTTCACATGGTTTTCGAACTAAAGTAGGCTTATAGTTGAAAATGTGTTTAATAAAGATTGTCGCCTTTTTAAAATTTTTAAAGTTTAATTAATAAAACAAAATAAACCTTACAGGTTCAAACTAAGCGGGTTTTCAAAAATATTCTAACGCAAATATTATCGGAGAGGGTTGCCAGCTGATTAATTTGTTCAATGGAATTGATAAAATTAATTGAAATTATCAACTTTGACGCAGACTGATTTCCTTAATTCCCTTGCTCGCTCAAACCGAATCGATAAATCGGGTTCTTCCTAGATTGGAACAAGCCATGTTTGTGTGTAGTCTTCTGATGTCAATTAGTGTGTTTTTGGCACACAAACTGTCGAAATTGTTCAACAATCTACTAAACAAACCAGAACTCACTGACGGCTTTGATAGACATCCCAACTGAGATTTATAATAATGCGATAAGAAAGATTTGTATTGAAATATGCCATTGTTGATCCGATAGTATATACCTATATAACAAAAGGATTTTTTTTTCAATGATATTATTAACGAAGTTATACAATATTTAAAATGGTATGTACAGATGAATATTTTCAATAGAACCAAAAACCAGCGATATCTTCCCTCAAATATATTTTCCAAGAAATGGCTTATAATAATGATTCCGACCCATTCCTAATGATTATCGTTCATTATATCGACTTCAATTCTAGTTTGCTTCCCCTCGCATATAATTTCGCTTTTCATCTCATCAAACTATTTAATGAGTTTAGGCAGGGAAATACGATATATAGTATATACATATATATAAATCTCATTTTTAATCCTATTTTAATGTACAGGTATACTTGTTTCATTTATACCAAATATTAAACGAAACTATTTGCCTAGATTACCTAAATTATTTAGAAAAATATAACACTCTCTACATACTAATATTATATAATTAATAATAACCAAAATTTAGCTGTTAGTATATACTTATTTACATATGTTTTATGTTTTTTAATACAAGCCCAAATCCCTTGATTCTTAGGGTTTTAATCAAATATAGATACATACCTACGTACATAGATATTTATAATGAGAAACTAATTTTAGTAAATATTTTTTTTTATATTGCCAATACTACTTGTATATTCTACAAGTAGAGTAATTATACTTAATTACAATAACAAAAACAAATGTCGTTATATTTATGTACATATGTATATATATACATACTATATATATTTGTAATTGCGTTTCGCAATGGTTCACCGTTAACATTAACTCCTCCTCTTTTTGCTCCTAACAATATTGTTACCGAATGTCGAGTACACTTATTAAATGTAATATAAGAAAAGCAAAACAAAGAATTTGCCTTCACCAAAGAAGTAGCACATATTTAGTCTCCTTGGTTTGAATTAAATTTGCAGGAGCACATACGTCAATCGAAGGAGAGCAAACTAAACGAGTTGGGCCGCAATTCGAAGGCGCGCTCAAGGGAGAATTTATCGAGCACAATGCCGAGGTAAGTTCCTTATAAAGGCGCAAATATGCCATTATGTGCGATGGCAATTTGTAATATGCAATAACTCGCACACATTGTTGTTGCATATGCAATGTAATGCATTATAATGCAATTTCTAGTGAGTACATGGCTAACTGACACACTTCCCCCTCTCTCTTTCTCTCTCTCTTGTGTCACTACTCCACAGACCCAAACATTCGCAGACATCGTTGCAAATACTTAACGACGCATCGAATCGTTATTATCGCGAGGTGGTGCCTATGTCGCGCGCCAGCAGCAAAAGCGATCTCAAGGAGCGTGAACAAAGCATTCTACGGCAACGAAACGATATCGTGGTGCAGACAAGCTTTTGCGTGGATGACAACAGCTCCGAGGCGACGGTGGAGGCAGCGATGGCGGCAAATGCCTGCGATATGGGCTGTCAGACGCGGTAAGACAACAAAAACAACAGAAACAATAATAACAACAATAACTGTAACGGTAATGGAAACTTTCACAAATCCGCACACACACATATACATATACACGCGCACTTGCATATTCATATGCATAACAGCATATTTGCATATTTGCACACTTGTCCCCAATGTTTGTTTAGCAATCAATGAGTTTCTCATGTTTCTGCTTGCAGCGAATCGCTCTTCGCCACACCGTTGATGCACCAGAACTCGATGGGCTCGCTAAAGGACAAGACCAGCCTACATTCGCGTTCACGTTTCTCCACATTCGGCTACGAGGCCGCACAGCCGATGCCACCACCACCACAGCCAGCTACCGCCCGTGGTGGCCAACTAACGGGACTAAATATACGCGACGCACGGGAATACATTGAGATGCGCGAGCGACATCCCGCCCCTAAGCCCAAAATGCCGCATATGCATCGCATGGATGCATTGCCGCCCACACCGCCCACGCCAGCTGTGCCACCGGAGATGTGCCACCATCATCATCAACATGCCGCACATACGCATGTACACACGCAACAACAACAACAACAGCCGCAGCACCAGCAGCAGCAATCACGCCAGCAATCAGCGCAGCAACAGCAACAGTTGTCGATGCAGCCATCCAAGGAGAGTAGGGGCGGTGGTGGCAGGTCAACCGCGGCAGCAACAACAACAGTAACCACGGCGACATCAGCTCAGGGAAAAGGCAAGCCAAAGCTAAGTCAATCGACAGCTTACATAGACATTAGAAATTCAGCGCCGGATGTCATCATAATGACATCACATTGACATTTAAGTAACTCAGCGAAAATCATGCCATATCCACATGGGAGCGCACAACAGCAACAATAACAAAACGCATTAGCACACTCGACCGGCTATGGGAATGTGCTGGCAACAGCAAAACGGCCAATGTTGGTGCTACGGAGCGAGAATTTGAGTGAAAAACGCACACAAATTAGGAAGTCATTTGGATAGGTAAAGCTTTTAAGCGCACGGATGTGCAGACACATACCCAAACAGCCACATATACTCAATGTATGTAGCTTGAAGTCACACAACTTTCTTTATTAAATGCTTGATTTGCCAAATGTTATTCGGAACAATTATATTGAGGTTATGTTGGGGCAGGAAATCGATGAATTTCATTTCGAAACGCTTTAATATCCTAAAATATGTATTATTGACCTAAAATATGTATTGAATATCAACTTTTTATTTAACGCTGGTCTTTAAGAATAATTTTAAGACAAGTTTTAATTCAATAAATCGAAATTAAGAGATTCATGCTTTCATAACTTGGAGGTAACCATGTTTTACATTAGATATTGTTTTAATCGGTATTTAATAAAAAATGAATTAAGTTTTAAATTATTTAAATAATTATTAAAATAATTAATTAAGCAGGGGTTGCTTAAATGGCTATGAATTTTGAATATCAGATTCATATGACGACCCTCTATTTTATACATTTTAGTGTCAGAAGAAAATTATAAATAATTTTAGAAAAATCTATATCAATAAACAAAGTCCTTTCATCATATTTCTATTAAGCAATACTTGGGTTCGCGTTTCTCTAAATAGCAGGAAATAGCACCCAAAAAACATTAAATATCTACGTTGTGCTTAAGGCTTTTTTAAATTTTCGTCTGAGCTTCGTCTGGCGAGTAGTTTTGCCTTTAAGATATGCTCTTTCTATAATTGTATATATTGTACATTGTTCTTTCATATAGTCATATATCGATTTCAAAACGCAGAAAACGGTGTATTAAAGTTACGACAAAGTCTAAAATGTAGATAAAAGTCAAGCAGCCATAGCAAAACTCTTTCTGATATTGGTCAAAATTATCGAAACTACTGATAAAACTGACCGCACTTAAAATTATTTTTAATGGAAATCATAGTTATTGAATTTCTGACCAAAAAGGGGTAATCAGGAAAGAGACACATTACGATGAGATCATTGAAACAAACTTGAACCAAAGGTTACGTGTCTAGTCAAAATTGAATTTAGTGCTGAAAGCTATAATTAACTTAAGGGGTTATATCCACTTGTGAATTTTAAAACTCGAATTTGTTTGCACATATTTGAGAATATTCTCGAATTATTGAAATAGACCAGGCAAATAGTTTCGGAGAAATGAGCGTATTGCTATTTTAACTTAGTGCAATCGTCCCTCAAAACTTTAAAAGCGTTTGTCACAGTCACAGTTCTTTTGGGAAATCGCTTTGGCAGAAATTAACATTTTGACTAGTCCTACGACTGTTACCTGTTTATATCTAAAGTAACAATTTTTTTTTTTAGTTTTTGGGGTTGAAATAATTTTAAGCAGAAAAATCTTCCATACAGCCAGACATGGCTTTTCGGAGGTCCTCTTGGAAATCAACTATTGGATCAAAGAAATCCAACAATTTTCAAAATGAATTGCCGATAAAAAAGTACATTAAATTCTGTTAATGCGCATTTTTATTTATTTATTAAATAAATTCCTCTTGACAAAAAAAAACGTGTTTCGTGTCATGCAAGTGGATATATCCTGAATCTTATCTTGTGCGTTCTATCCATATTAGGCGTAAGAAATAATAAATAATAATTTTAAGTTAAAAACGATGTTAGGACGATTGTTGGTAGGAAGGGAATCTGATTATTTTTATCGCTTTGATGTACAAATCTTCTTGGAAATCTATCACATATATATACTAATTTTAAATTAAATATTTAAAAATTAATGTAAATTATTGAAAGAGTCTTAAATACTTTAGTACTTCCGCAGCAATACTTGGTTCGAAGAAGTGGACAGGACGGGGTTTTATAAAACGTGTAAATATCTCAAGCCGGTAATTGAATTACGGAAGGTTGTATAATTAGTGACAATGAAATCTTAATATTCCCTTGGATGGGATATATTTGAGAAGGTGATAAAGGGCAGAATATGAGAATTACTATAATATACATGTTTTTTTTAGCAAAATGCAATGAAAGGTGGCGCAAATAATGTAATAAATTTCATTACATTATTACAAATTTTGATTTCGAAGTATTCCTTGAACCAAAAAAATCGAGTCTAATACCAGCGCTGTAACCTCTAACTTAGTACATTAATTAGCACAGCCGTGAGACTTGTCCATGTCCGAACGTTAACTTAATTGCTAATAAGGAGTTCAGCAACCCTTCCTTGTAATATATTTGTATTATTTCACGTTACTTAAAATATATCAAACAAAAAGCTAAGGAATGTTGCAAAAAATAGTTTTTAATGGTGATTTGCAGATACTGCCCGGTGCTAATTATCTTTGATATCTAAGATAAGTTGTCTTTGATTCACCAAGGGTTGGAGAGTAGTGAATCGAACAAACTATACCGGTTAGTCAAATAAACAAATTGACAAATGATTTTTTTTCGCGACCAAAACATTTTAGTAATCTCTTTGTTTCGTATCGTGTGCTTTCTATAAATAACTATAATTTATATTTTTATTTCATGTTATTTATAAAAGAAATCCTAAATCACAATACGTCACCCGTTAATTTTTATATTAAGAGCTCAAACTTTGCTAGAATTTTTTCTCATTGTTTCGGACGATATTTCAGAGTTTTATGTAAAAAAATTAGATTTTATTTGTTTTGGCCAACCCTAATATGCATGCATATTTTATATAAAAAATCACAAACGGATAATTATTTAGTACATTAATCATACAAAATTACAAATATATTATATATAACATACTCGTAATGAAATAACATAGCAGCTAATACGATACTCGTTAAAGGTTAACTTATAGCGAATTTTTGAAGTGATTTTTAAAAACAAAAAAACTTTCTATCGAACTAAAAATAAAATTTAGTGAAATATTATAAATAAAATAACTATAAACAATAATTTATAACTTTAGGAAATCTAACTTTCACTAACTATGACAGAATTTCGCTAGGGACATCACATACAAACATTTCGAAAAAAACTAAGGATAATAATTATTAATATTATTCCATATTTAAAAAATAACAACAAAATTCAAATTTACATTACACTAATTAATGAAGAATAATGCAGCGGAAAATTTAGAATTTTACAAACTTTTTTGGGACCACAAGTATCACGTGACACATGAATTACTTTGACATATTTACACACATTTAATTTTAGAGGTTAGTAGTTTACATGTTTTTGGTTAGCTCAGCATTTATAAAATAATATGTTTATAGCGGAAATATTCAATTGTAATACATAACTTAACACAAACATATTATATATGTGTGTAAATAAATGTTTTGTCATGTGTTATGTAAATATGTGTACATGGAAATGGTAAATACATACATCGCAAAACTTGTAAATTTCTCTTAGCGAATTATTGAGTTGAACTCCACTAGAATAAATGTTAATAGCAAAAAATTTCAAATAGAAAATAAGAATTATATTTCTAAATAATTGAATTAAATGTGTGTGGTGTGTAACTAAAAGATTTGCACAATGATATACATAAGAATAAACAAACATATACACATTTGTTATAACTTAGCCTAATACCATACATATTGTACATATGTATAACATGTATATGTATGTGCATGCTATATGCATATACCGTAATAAAAAATGTGTAAATTTAGCGTTTGTTAAAGTGCGATTCTATTTTGAATAAAAAAACTATGAAAGGTAAAATTTTTGTAATTTCACTTTTGCGGATTATGGTCGAAAGTAAGTAATTTTTTGAATCAGCGAATATAATATCAGGAGTTTTCTGTAAGTAGTTTCGATTATGGTAGTCATTTGGCATTCATTTTTGAGTTTACAAAGCTCAGTATACAACCAGCTAGAGTGCGCCATTTTGATATACTACCATAGGACTTTGTATCTTGACATCACGTTCCAAGTTGGGCGCTCAGAGGAAGTGTAGAATCGTTTTCTTACTCCCTTCAAGTTTACATCCACGGCAAGTGCTATTATAGAGCCTACTCATTTATAACGCATGTTCTGCAAATGCACTGCAATTCTGCACTATTTGCTCAAATTGTATATTGAGCATCCTCTTGATCGATCCTAGCGGACACGGTTTTGTCTCTGCCTCGCATTTGTCTAGAGACCGGGAACCCAAATAAAGAACAAGTGGAGTTGATCTGCCAGTGAGCTTAAAGCCTTCTTTGCTTTGTTTACGACGATGCAGTTGATCTATCTATAAATGGCCGCTTTCTGTATCGATAAAGAGATATCTAGATTCTCGGAATATACCCCCGTCTTTACACCGCACTCAGGACACGTCGGTATAAATTGACGTAGTATTCTCCTCCTTCAACCTTGGTCCGATTAGTATCGTCTTGCCACTTTCCGTATGCAAATTTCTATGCGCACTTGGCGCAGAAGAATATCGGACATGACTTAAACGCCCCTGTAACCCCTGCACATGCTGCCCTACTCTAAATTCCATTTAGTTTTCTGATGTTATATTTTTTTTCTAATGCTAGCCACCAAATCACTGCTCCATATGTAAGGATTGGTCTAATGACGGCCGTGTACGTCCACATGACTATATTTGGTTTTAGGCCCCAGTTTTTGCTGCATATCCTCTTGTACGTGTAATACGCCTTATAAGCTTTCTTTAAACGTTTCTCAATATTAAATTTCCATATCAGTTTGGTATCTATCTCCACCCCCAAATATTTTGCAGTTGGGGACAAAGAAATTGTAGTGCCACCGCGTGTGGAGAGCTGAAATTGAAGTATTTTGGTTTTATTGGGTTCACACCTGGTCTGTTATTGGCGGCCCTTAAGCGTAACCTCTGTAAGGCTATTTCCATAATCTCACTGGTAGTGGAATGAAACAGCCCTGATACCAATAACACTATATCGTCTGTATAAGCTACTGCCTTCACTTCTCCTCCTTTGAGTTGAAGTAGTATACAGTGCCACTAGCCATAGAAGCGAGGACTACACACCTACTTAAGGAGTCTCAATGCTTCCATAAATTGTTCGTATCACTGAACCATGTGATGCTATAATAATTCTGATCATAACCATCGATTGAATCCATCTGCACACCGTGTCGTCCATGCCGCCCTGTGTCAGAGACTCAGTGATTGTGCTTACTTTTAAGTGGTTAAAAGCTCCTTCTATGTTTAGGAAGGCAGTTATTGTAAATTGCTTGAAGTGTAATGACTTTTCTTTTACGGTTACTACCAATGCATTAGCCTCTCTAGGGCCTTCAACGTGAAGGAGGTGAGGCTTATGGGTCTATAGTCTTCAGCATTAACGTGTGTTCTTCTGCCTGTTTTTGCTAGGTTTGGCCTTATAGATCCTTTCAAGCCTTAGAGGGTATTTTAGCTTCTGCAACATTAAGGGAGCTGTTAATATAGTATTCTATTGTATTTTCTTCTTGTTGACTATGACTGGTCTACTGTAGTTGAAGCTAGTTCCTGTTGAACACCCCTTGCCACGGATTGCTGACTACCAAGGAAGTGGGTGTTCATTAGAACCTTAAGTGACTCTCCAACTGAGGAGGTCCAAGCATCTCCGTCTTTAAATAAGCAATATGTTCTTTGGACAGTATATTACTCAGCCTGGAAGATTCTCTGCAACTTTCTATTAATGAGCAAAAATATTGCCATGAGTCTGGCTTAGCTATCCTGACGACTGGTTTTTGCTTTGTTTATCTTCATGATATCTTTATAAAGTGGCAAATTTTGGTCTTATAACTTTCATTAAAAGCTGTATTTAGTTAAGTTTTTATGTTCTTAAGATTGTTGTTCCACCAAAAAGGTGACTTCCGTTTCTTCAGAACAGTTAAGGGTGTGGATTTGTTAAAATAATTAAAAATTAAAATAGTGGTTAAGATGTTTTCAATCTTCTCCACCTCTGCATCCAGCTTTTCAACATTCCTGATGTTATTGCTGCTTCCCCTCCTTGCTAAGCCTCTAAAAAGAAACTAGATCCCTTTTGTTCCACCTTTACCACTGTGGTGTGATTAGAAATGTGTGATGTGCTGTAATTAGAAAAAAGAAATGCATTTATATCTTTATTGATGAGAATGCAAGAACTTGGTCTACCTTCGCTCCGTTTGCAAAAAATGTTGTAATTGCTGCTGGTCAGCCCTTTAACGGTGTCTTCTCTAACCCAGGGCGCTTGAATGATGCTGATGTCGAAAGCGAAATAATCAGATGGAATTAAAAATCGTCTTACATAGGAAGTAGGCGTGGTTGTACTCCGATTTCGTCCTTTTTCGCACTGAAACATAAAAATTTCAACGTAATATCACATACCAAGTTTAGTCGATATCGGTTGAGTAAGTCCTGAGATACGGTTAGTTGAAGAAAACAATTATACTTTGTAGCAAGATTATGCATTAAGAAGGGTTGTCGGCACCATTAAATTTAAAATCTTGGTTCCCAGGCATTTTCTTCCAGTCATTGATGAATAGATTAGTGCACTTGAAAACCAAAATTTTGCCTTACAAGTTGGTTTACGAACGATTTAATTTTAGCGGTTTTAGCTAATACACATTAAATCATGATATCTACTTGAACGCAAAAAACCCTGTGGAAAGATACTCAAAAACTTAGAAGCCTCTTTAAGGAATAAGCTCATTTAACTCAAACATTTTGCAACTGTATTGCCAATAAAATTAGATATCTGATTATATATTTAACAACCACGTTTAAATAAATTGATGAGTAATTTTTCAAAGAATGGTATATAATTATGTCCGCAAAAAAGGGCCCCTTACGTGTCCTCGTTCCAGAATACCAACATTCTTTGATCTCAAGAGGAACGAAATATCATTCAAAGGAGATAGTTACAAAGTCTCCAAATAAAAATTTAAAAAAAGTAAACCTTATTAATAATTTGCAGCCGGGGATTAATAAGTCATGATAGGGAAAATATGATATAATAAGGTCTAGCTAAAAATACCAAATTTTGATCATTAATTCTAGAAGTAAGTAAAGAAGCATCGCATATTTTTGGTCGAGCTGTATTAAACATGTACTTAGATGTATTAAGGGTTATACCAAAATGTTTAATTTGAGATTTTGAAACAAAGTGGCTGTAACTGGGACAATCTTCGGAATCACCTTTCAAACAGGGCCTTTACGAGCAACGGTAGTTTTAGAAACTCGTGATATCGTGATATCGTGATTAAAATCGGGATTTTATTCTACATAGATTTTCTAGCTTTCTTTGAAAATATGTAAATATAGTATTTGTTTGGTAGCTATATGCTGTAGAGAACCGATCTGAACAATTTCTTCAAAGATTACATTGTTGTTTTAGCTAATAACACATGCCTAATATCGTGAAGATACCTCGTCAAGTCGAAAAGTTTTCCATGCAAGCACTTGATTCCGATCGTTCAGTTTGCATGACAGCAGTTTGCTATAGTGATCCGATCTGAATAATTTCTTCGAAGATTGCTCCAAATCTGTAGGTAATATAACATCTCAAATTTTTGGGAAGATATCTCGTCAAATGAAAAAGTTTACCAAGCAAGCACTTAATTCCAATCGTTCAGTTTGTATGGCATCTATGTCCTATAGTTATTCGGTCTGAACAATTTCTTTGGAAATTGCACAGTTGTCTTAGGCAATAACACATGCCGAATTTTGTGAAGATATCTTCTCAAATGAAAAAGTGTTCCATCATCATGCTGATCATATATACCGTACATATATTCATTTTATATGGTCTACGACGTAACCTTCTGTGCGATACAAACTTTGTGGCAAACTTAACATACATGTTCAGGGTGTAATTATAATGTAACTGTAAAGGTACAATTGGAATTTTATATAAGTATGTATGTATATCTCTCACGCTTCAACATTAAAGCAGATTGGACAAAAAAAAATTGTTTCTTTCATTAATCTGTAATTTGAATAATGCTTAAAGAACCGTAAATTTTCTTTTAAGGCCCTTAAGTTTCGATTTTTGGAAAATTCTTAGTTTTAATCTTATGATATTTAATGCATTTACCACTCCGTTATATCACTTTCAGGTAAACTAAATTTTCCTTCACTAATAAAACAACAAATAGCCAACAAGTATTGTAATTTCCGTATCACGTATAAACGTAACGTACCGATAGGTTTATTCAAGTTGTAACCACAACAGCGATATCTTCATTACATATTAAACAACATTTTTTTACTTCCGCTTCTTTTGTTAGCAGGAGATGAATAATGCCAACTTTGGAAATACCATTTGAGGAAAGACTCCGCTTAAAAAGTTGAGAAAAATAAAATTCTTCCCATTCTAAGCTTCTTATGAGAAAAAGTCCTCTATCACACAAGCTCTCATACTCTAATCCAATGCAATCTACGTTACGATGAAATAAACAAAATAAAGATATAGTCGAATACTAACTCAAAATACTATTCCAAAATTGAAGAGCTCTATCTAATCTATCTAAAAGACATCCAGAACCTCTGATACCATATCCAAAAAAAATTCTAATTACACCTTTAAGTTCATTTCATCAATTTAAGCCCTAATTGTTCTCAAATAACCACATATTGAAACAATTATTGGGTCTGCTTTTATTTTAAAACTTATTTAAAAAAACATATACAATATTATTATTCAAGGTATTGCCTATTCTAAGCTACAAGTATAACATTTTCCCATCTTTATGGCAATTTGTAGTTTCCATCCCACAAGAACTGCGCGGGCTTGGCGGCCAATAATGAATCAAGTAAATATTTTTTTATTATATATCGGTCGTTTTTCGGAAAGCGCTTCCTTCAATTTGGTGAGTGTTTGTCGGTAGCGTTGGTAACACATGGTTTTAGAAACTCATAGTATAGCACGCTCTGATTCCACCAAATACAGACCTTGGCGTCATGGATATTCGGCTTTGCTGTTGATTTGGCTGGTTATATGATAATAAAATTATCAGTTAAAATGTTTAGTAATGTAAAATATTTTCAATCGGTTATTTATCTATTTTATTATTCTATTGTCGGCAATAATACATTTAACTTAACTTTAATTAACATCAAAGGTGTTTTAAAAAAGGAGCCGCCCCGCTGTGAAATCTGAAACTTTCAGCTTGTCAAATTCCAAAAAAAGTCCAAAAATATTCTTAAGCACTTAAGACGTTATGACTGATCGAAACATAATAAATTTAAGCTGAGATTGGGAAATTTAATAAACTCCCACACTAAGAGGCCCTAAAATCAATTACAAACGTTATGAACCATCGCATTAATGGATAATTAAATAACAATGCAACCATTCACGCGACGAACGCAAATTGTCATGAGTATGTCTAAAATTAAACATTAATTCAAGTGAGACGAAACAACAAAGTAAAAAGCGAGAAATTAATGTGTCAAATTTAATTACTCAACGCCTTTTTAAACTGTAATTGACAGTGGTGCATCATAATACTTACAAATATCGCATTTGCATAAATGTTATTGGTGATATTAGGGAGGTTTATAGAATGAAAAGTTGGCGACGGTATCAGAATATTTATTAAGGGTGACAATTAGGTGTTTCCAGCGTTGTAATGAAACGATAGTAACAAGAGAGGATACGATATTTTATTCAGTATATGTGCTAGTTCCGTATGGTTAGCTGAAAGTTTTACCTATAGAAGTAATTCACCATATTTGACGTCATCGTATACGATTGGTTGTCTCATGACTCCCTTTCGAACTCAAAAATGTCATACACATCAAAATCTCGAAACACTTAAAGCAAAAATGCATTTTGACTTAGCTTATTTTTTAATATTTTATAATTTCCAAAAAGAACGCAAACAGCCACACAACGTTTTAAGGCGGCCGAATAAGAAATTAGGTGTCATATGAATTGAAGTCAAGAGATATTAAAGGAAGATTTTACTTGTCAGAAATGCTGTTTAAATGTTTCAAAAAGGAGTAAATTTTGCACCGACAATCCTAATCGCAAAAAATCATATCTAAAACCTGGACAAACCGCCAGATCAAAGGCAAAGGATCAAAAGCGCGTACTGTATTATGACTACGGTTCAGATCAAAAGAGGTTGTCAAAAATTGGGTTGATTCATACTTGACCGCCAAGACGACGAAGTTTTTTTGGGATGGAATCCACAAATTGCCAGACAGATGTGAAAATGCTATAGCTTCGGATGGACAATACTTTAAATAATACTATTGTAAATGTTTCTCTTAAAAAAAAGTAAAAATTTTGGAATAAAAAAAGCCGCATTAGGAAGGAAATAGCAAAAAACAATAATAATTTATAGAAAAAAATAATAATAATTACATTATTCTAAAATTTTTAATGAGACAGTTTGTTGAACAAATAAGCTCTATGAGGAAATGTATCTTTCTGAAATTTGCCGAATATTACCCAAAGACATTAGGCATTCGTAGTTTGATAGGAAACAGTACTGGGATTATTTACAAGAATACAGCAATAGACAGCAAGAGAGTAGAGCTATGAAAAACTACCTTTTTTAACTATTTTATTGACCAGATTATGCTCTCTGAGGTTAAGAGCAAATACCCGTTCTAAATATTTACATACTATTAAAGGAGGTTGTGCACAAAACAGAAGTTTTTAGAAAAAATAATACAAAACTAAACAAAAACTAAAGTTACATAAAAAATGCTTGTTGCAAAGATCCATATGATCAAATTTAACTTTTTAATAGTTAGAATTATAAAAATTATCACATTAAAGTTTATATTCAGGTTTAGGTATCCTTTAACATTTTCTGGCAAAAAATGTTATCAAATATATATTTACTTAAGGAAAACAACTACCCATCACTAACTTCGGAGTTCGGAGTTAGTGAGACAAAAAATGCAAAGTATAAGAGCTAATCTTCCTATCTACTCGCTCACTTTCTGAATGTTACTGTTAAACGAATTAACTACAGATTGCAGAAAATAAATTTTTCTCAAACAAGACAACCCTAAAGTTGATCACCAAGTGTAGAACAACAAGTGCAACAACCAGTGTACAACTAGCGAATAAATTTACATAATAAAAGGTATTAAGGAGCAGCACAGCTCTTAGAATGCATGCAAATGACCCCGAATAAAAAATACACACAAGTGTGCAATACTCAAAATACGCAGACAGATGCTGTCGCCGCCATCAAACGCTTGCCAAAAATGCTACAAAAACACTTTATATGAATATTATAAATTTATGTAGAAATATATACGATGGGAAACATAAATTTCAACAACGCCAAATATTGCAAGAGGGCTGAGATAACATATGTATGTACGTAAAAATATGAAAAAAATACTGTTAAAAACTCGTAACGAACCAAAACAGTAAACAGAATAAACTGAAAAATAAAGTAAAATAATAATAATTTGTTTACGTCAAGTGTTGGGTGCATACAAAACTGAGTGGACAATTTGAAGATGACTAGGTTGTTTTTATAATAATTTATTACCCCGAATTCGGCAACTGAACAACTCCAACGGCCACACACACATACCTATGGAAATATCTTCGCTGTGTGAAATGTTTGACTTTCGGCTGAGCTGCTCACTTGAGCCAGTTAAATGTTATACTTAAGTAGGTGCAACGCCATTCATACAAACATATGATGCAAACATTCATGCATATGTGTATACGTGTGTGCGATCGTATAACTGTAAGTATATCGATTTATTTTGCAAACGAACAGCATTTTTCGAACGAGATTCCGCCAAGAAAACGCAAATAAATACTAAAACAAAAATCTGCTTACAATACCGTTAAAATGCATTTAATATGGCTTAAATGCGACGAGGCCGTTAGGCGCAGATTTTTTTAAGACAAAGAATAATTGCTGCTCGCAGGAGACAGTAAAGAAACCCGCATATGGCGAGTACATAAAAAGCAGAGCACCAAAACGCTGATACAAATAATAATAAGATATTTTATTGTAGCCGTTACGCTGCTGTAGAACCTCTTCAACAGCGTTAAGAATAAACTGAGGAAGAAGATATTTGAACAATTTTGGGGTGAAAAAAATGGTCTTCAATTTGATGAGTTCATCGCCACTTCACCGCGCTATGGGGCACCTGATGCGAACGAAAGTTGGAAAGTATTCGAACAGTTAGAAGGAAATACACAGAGGAATATACACTTCCGTGCAACAATTTGCACCCTGTAGGACTCCATTCGCCGAACTAATAATGATTAACTCAGGTTTCATATCAGACTTAAATTCTTACCACACTTTTTTTCTTCTACTAGTTGGAAGATATAAATTGATCGTTTATTTCTGTCGTTTATTGAAGATAGAACTGGTTATCTATGCTTTTCAGTTAGAAAATTCAATCTTAAGGAAATCACACAAAAGATCAAGCAGACGACACACTATAAGAAATCCCATTAGGAAGTCTTCTATAACTTAGAATCACTAAAAATAATATTGCTTTTATGGACCACTTATAAAATCGGAAATAAGGTTACTATAACGTGGATTACCTGAACGCGAAAATACTTCAAAATACATTCCTAAGAAAAAGAACATAAAGGCAATCAAAGTTGATTTCGTGACAACTGTTTTTAAATCAGTATAGGCGGAAGGCCTTAAAATTACGATATATCTACCTTGAAACTATCAGTGTCAAACAGTATAGCAAATTTTAGAACGAAACGAACTGTCAAACTTTTCAAGTAATTGTAAACAAAATCTTCTATTTCCCTCCTTTCGTTTATGACGTCTCGAGTTAATGTATATTCTCTCAAACGCACTCCAAAAAACTGGGCGATAATGTCGTAATCTCTATTACTATCACTCTTGATATAACCAATGAACTTACAAGTAGAATATACATATATGATCTAAGCAGATCAAATTTGACTGACAAACAAAACAACATTAAGGTTATACAATACAAGCATGCTGACGCTTCATTCCATTTTTCACACGTTTTATAAATATCGGCATTCATTGAATGACTTCTAATGTCTTCAATGGACTCATGGCGCGTTCTCCGAGGCTAATTTTTCAGTTTCGAAAACAGAAAAAAATCATAGCGAGCCAAATCGGGCAAATACGACGGCTGAACGATGACTCTCGTTTCGTGTTTGGCTGAAAAGTCAGCCACAAGCACGCGCATTAACGTGGTACAAAATTAACGAATTTTCTGCCAAAAAATTCGGTTGTTTACGACGAATTGCTTCACGTACATGCTTAAATCAAATCATCGTATAACCATCACCTTGATTTTGACGTGGTTATTAGGTTTTGGCTCATTTTTAGAGCGCCATTAAAATATTTTCAGGAGCTCCGTCATAATTCTATTAAATATATGAAACAATAACATTAGCCGTCTTCGATTCATCAGTCGCTATGCTCATTTATTAAAAGCTTTTCAAATGAAAATGTCGCCTTATGGAATATAATCCAATATAAAAGATATAGAACGCATTATAGTGGCAAGAAATTTATCTACATGTGCTTTCCCTATTCGATTATGCCATTATGTTCGATTATACCAGTCTTTTGACATTTACCGAGTAATTTGTTCGTTTCACCAATCGCTCGTTTTGTCGAATGGCAGACAAAGATTATTATTCACGAACTGACTGATTTCCTATAGGGATCGAATCAGCATGCAAGAAAGTAAGCGCGGATAAATTTTGAATAACACATTTACGCGTCACTGGTCAACGACCACTAATAACATCTGCATATTTGTAGTGGATATAACCTACTTCTCGAAAATATACGCGCACGTAAACTAATAACAAAAATACAAACAATAATGAGCAAATACTCGTAAAACCCACGCATACCGACACATCTGTCCTCACAAGCGCAAATTAAACAAAATTTTAGCGCACAGCTTAAATGCACTTATGTGCTTTTTTTGCAAAAGTTTTCACACACACTTACACGCATGGACACGCACGCGGTTAAGAATTTCCGCACACATAGTATACTCCACTCGACCCAAAATATTCATGGAATTCTTATTATGGCTCATATGCACTTCTGTCAACGTTCCTGCCTACGACTAACAGCCTGTCTACCTACCTACCCACACACATACATATGTACATGCATACAGTCACCGCCAATAAAATGCGACCATTGTACAATATGAGACAAAAAGATAACAACAACAACGACTGATGACAAAGAGGAAGACAACGCTTGGACGCACTTCTCCCAATCAATTATGCGTTAGTGCGAGTATTTATCCAAGCCAATTCTGCAGAAGAAGGTATTAACAAATTACATTTTCGGGTATAAAAACCAAAGTTCTGCATCCCTACGGCGGCATTGAGGCAATACCATTGCAGCGCTAAAGTTGTTAATTGTGTTAAACCAATAAAACGCGACGAATGTGAAAATCGATATTCGGAGTTCGCAACTCGCCAAAATAGTCGTTCAACAAAATTGAGAAAAATATAAAAAATTGCTGTGCAACAAAAAGGAGAATCAATAAAAATTACTGTAATGGCGCAATTTGTGGTAATCTGGAGCATATTCCTGTATGCTTCCTGTCTGCTGCTGTTGAGCAGTGCCGAAGTCCCACAACAACCACAGCAATTCACGAAAGTGCCATTGGTCAGCAACAATGTTGTTGAAATGGTTGCGGGTGTGAGTGGACAAGGTGGAGTGGGAGTTGGTGTGGGTGTGACAGGTGGTGTAGGGGCCGTTATAGCGCCCAGCGTCGGTTCAGTTGCGGAGGAGGAGCGTGTTTACTACCATCCGGCTGCGGTAAGCAAACCACGAGTCATCGACCAGTATGATCATCGCTCCTTGGACGGACACTTTGAGTACAGGTAAGATAATTAAATTGTTGCTGGCATGATTACATATATTAAATTACTGATTATTGTGGGAGGATTATGTGGGTATGAGATAAATAATTAGCTTATTTTCGGTCAACTAAGAAGAGGAGTAGCACCGCAAACAGACAAGCGAGTGTGGCGCTTTGAACGCTTTGGCTCTACGCATTGAATGAAGGAGACCTATAAAAATATTGAAGATGAACTAATTCTGTTGTACTTTTTGTACTTGTGTATCACTGCTATCTACCACAAATAGGAGGTTTCTTGGATTAGTAATTGATAATATTTGGCAAAACTGTAAGGAGAGTTTTTATAGAAGAACAAATTTATTATCTCGAGCACGGTAGCTCGAATGCAGCTTGGCTTACTCAATTTAAATATACCGGAAAACCTCAGATATCGAAAGATCAACACAATCTTCATACCAAATTCTATAAGCCAAGATTTCATTATGTATCTAGCAGCTTCCAACTGAATCTATTAGCACAGTGCCCTCAATCATCCTTGATTCTTTCCAATGCCCCAACAAGTTCTAAATGTATATTGGTACAGACGAATGTCTCTTTTATCAAATCCTTCTATCTATTCCGATCTTTATTCCTTTTAGAAGAATTTTAAGTAGAAGTTTTAGAAGTAATTTTCACGTATGATTCTTCAAACAGGTATTTACTCAGTAACGGTGAAGCTCGTTATGAACGCGCCTACTGGTTGCCAGCAGGTAAAAATATGGTATTGGCACGCAAAGGTTACTACTCTTATCCAATATCAAATAATAAATTTCTAACCGTCTTCTATACTGCCGATCAAAATGGATATCGACAGGATTCAAGTAAGTCTTCATTAGTCAATAGAAAACTAAAAGCTTGAACTCAGTTTCAGTTATGTATAAGCATATATATATCAGTATACAACTTAATAATTATTTCATCATTAATTTTATTGTTACAGCCACATTCAGTAGAGCTCAACCGCATCTCCCGCGTAGTATCGAAGTGCCGGAATACGTACTACAATCGGTATATGCCGCGCATCCACCGGTAATACAACATCAGAGTAAACCATATGTGCACCCCTCCACCACAACTTCAAGGCCTTTTGTTCCGTCAACCGATAATCCATTCATTCAATTAAAGCCACAGGTGCCTGCGCATCAATCTGCTATAGATCATGGTCAACCCTTGTACGGTCATCAATCACAAGCGCAACATTCATCCCTTCATACATCTTCAAGTGCTCATTCATCAGTAGGAGGTCAAGTGGCATCAGGCATTCACTCATCTGTTGGAGCTCACCATTCCGCAGTAGTTACTACTCCATCGGTTGTCTCCTCTTCAACTGGAGTTCACATCAACGTGGGAGTTAAGCCTGCCCCAGGCCAAGTATGGGACTCATCAGTGGTTGTTCCCTCCTCGTCAAATGTGGTTTCATCCTCTGGTATTCATTATTCGTCAGGCGTTCATTCCCAAGCAGTTCATCCTACAGTTCCCAGCCAATCGGCAGTTCATTCTTCGTCGGTTGTTCAACATGGAGTAGAAAGTCATTCCCAAGTGGGAGCTCACCCCACTGTACCCGTCCAATCGGCAGTTCTTTCATCCTGGGGTGGTCAGTCTTCAGGCAGTCATTCACAGGCCGGAGTACATTTAGAAGTTCCAACCGCTTCTACAGTTCACTCTTCTGTAAGCGCTTACTCACCACCTCCAGTTCATTCCCCATCTGTAGTTCAACCTTCAACAGGGGTACATTCAGCAGCTGTTCCTCCCTCACGCCCTACTGTACGCCCATCCAACCAAGTGTATCAATACCAATCAGCTTCACAAGGCTCCTCAGCTCAATCCTCAGTAGTTGTTCCTCCAACAGTTGCTTCGCCCACAGTCCCAGTTCAATCATGGCATTATAGTTTTTAAATAAACAACGCCTGATTGCTGATTAGAGTCATTATATAAATTTGGACTTGGCTTCATTACGTCGACTTTTATTTCTTTTCTTACGAGTATAATTAAAAATTGAAAATAAAATACAATTTCTTTATACAGTGCTTCAAAGTTTATTATATCGTTTAACTTAGTATGCTGCCATACCTGTTATTGCGAGTAAGTAGTTCAACCTAAATGGTATATTATCAACATTTGTATTTATCTCAACTATATTTATACTACGAACAAGGTATACCCAAAAGGAAACGACGGAGACCATATAAAGTATAAATATAAATGATCCGTCGATTTAGCCATAGCCGTCTATCTGTAAGTTTGCTTGTCTAAATACACTCGAACTAGTCCCTAAGTTTTTAAGATATAGATCTGAAATTTTGCACACATTCTTTTCTTCTCTAAGATCTGCTTATTTGTCAGAGCCGCCGAGATCGGATCACTATAAGAAATAGCTGCCGTACAAACTGATCAATTAAAGTCAAGTCCCTGTATGAAAAACTGTTTTATTTGCCATGATATCTTCACAAAATCTTGGCACAGATTATTGCTTAAGACAAGTTGGATCAAAATCAAGCAAAAGATATTTTAAACTTTGTATACCCTTTCGGCCCGCCCTTTATATTATATATATGAACTTGTCCCTCAGTTTTTAAGATACCGACATGAAATTTTGCATACGTCGTTTTCTCTCAAGAAGTTGCTCACTTGTCGGCACCGCCAATATGTGACCACTATAGCATACAGCTGCCATATAAACTGAACGATCATAATCAAGTGCTTGCATGGAAAACTTTTTCATTTGACGAGGCATCCTTATGAAATTAGGTATGGATTGTTGTTATGGATGTTAGCCAATAATGCCATCTCCGAAGAAACTGTCGGACTACCGTAGCATATAGCTGTCATATAAACTGACCGATCAAAATCAAGATAAAAATATTTTCATGCTATAAAAAATGCACCTGTGAAGGATATTACAGCTTCGGTGCAGCCGAAGTTAACGTTTTTTCTATTTATGACATCATTAGCAAATCTTCTATCTAGAAGATTAATCGAAAAATCTAATTGAGGAGGTAACGGTAAGAGAGGCATAAGAAGAAACTTTTGTTTAAATTTCGAATTCGAAATTTTTTGGTGAGATAAACTAAATCCTAGTTTGTTTAATCTTTTCTATCAACGGGAGCTCATTGTTTAAGACCGATTTCATAATTTTGTAGGAAACAACTCTCCGGGGACATTTTGTTTCAATTGAAAATAAATATTCTCGAACGACAACGTGATATAATCCTCAGCTAAGTTAATTCTTTTATTTAAGTAGTTTATTTCCTATCGTTTGAGCTGAAAACATCCGAATACATTTCCTTAAATCACTCTTGGAATATCTTGGCAAAGTTTTCAAGAAAGCGCTATGAGCTTTTTAGAATGACTGGTATTTAAATAAATAATACTTTTTAATTTTGAATAAATATTAAATAACTCATTTCACTAATTGCATGGAATCCTATACAAAGAACTTATCATAAATATATAAATAGAATATTTGTAACAGGATTTGAAAATAACAAAAACCAGTAAAATATGACTGTTCTTAAGCAAACTCGTCTAGAACTCTAACGTCTAATAAATAAAATATAGAAAGGGGAACAAACTCATAATTATCCGCAACGGAATGACACCTAAACACGAAATTATAAATTTGCACACACGGAATGGCAGAAAAATCTGCGAAAAGAACCGGCTACCAATAATTTGTGTTTTTATTTTATTTACTTTTGTATAAAAAGTGTAACCGTTAATGCGACAACGGTAAAAGTATACATTTTATGCCAACCATTTTCATTTCGGTGTGACATATTTTCGGTGGATTTTAACAACGCCCAAAATTCCATAACGTATGTAAGTGCCCGTGAGTTATACGAAACAATGTTTTTAGCGGCAGAAATACGGACTCCGACCTGCTACCATGCTTCTTTGCTTGTATGTATGTGTGTTTGTGAGTATGTTGAACTTTTCGAAAACATTTAAGGCCTGCAGCACGTTCTCGCTTATATTTATGTTATAGATATAGAGGCAATTTCTGCTACACTAGCGCGATGTGCCCCAATGAGCCAACATAGCAGACGCGTTGAAGATCAGATAAAAGCGAAAGAGTGGAGAGATCAAAATTTCAGTCGAGGACAAAAAACCCAGGAACGAATTACAGAGGTAAACATAATAATTACAGTGCCACATTCAATTGAGCGCGCATGAAGAAAAAATGAAATAAAATAAAAAATTCGCTTATCAAGCGATCTTCAAAGCGATCAGCCACAGCGAGGTGGCCGCGCTCTATTTTTATCCCCGCGCTGACTTCGCAAGGCAAGTGAACGGGAAGTACACGCAATTCTGCGCGCAAATTTCTTTGAGTGCCGTTGCAAATTAGAAGCCAAAACTTAGAACTTGTGTGGCAAACGGCAATCAAGTTGGTAACAACAAAAACAGCAACAGCAGGGGAGGCTGAATTATGCGTGCGCAATTAAATAGTAAGGTACATACAAATTTACACATTTTCAAAGCACTCGCGCAGATGCCGGCTGTGATTACACCCGCAGCAACAAAAGCTCAGCGCGTTGGCCGACCGACTGCCGGGCCGTTTAGCTGATGAAGCGTCTCCAATTTTTGACATCTTTATTTAGAGGCGCGCTTGCCACACACAAACAGACATACACCCATACACAGGTGCACGCACATACTCGCTTATAAAGTGCTTTATTCGCAGAGCGCCAGCAGCTAAGTACTATAAAAGCGCTCGCTTGGCTGGTACTTACATTAAACTGACTTCAAGCAACAAAACCGCAGCATACACGCCCACACACAGTCCGTCAAGCAGGTGTGCAACAAAACTTTTTAAGCACCACTTTTTCGAAAAAAGGATTAATTCTGCAAAAGCATACAAACAAACCCAAACAATGTGTCGCAGCCGTGGAACCAACAAACTTTCCGCAATCATCGTCTATTGCAGTCTGGCTTTGGCTTACACACAAGCGGCTGTCAGCAATAATTCAGCGCTTCCAAACAATCAATACTCATCAAACTACCAACAAAATGATGCAGCCGCCTCTACTTATTTCCCGAATAATCAAAAACAATATGCGCATAGCACTCGTCTAAGCGCTGGCAATCAGCAGAATTACCAACCATCACAACAACAACAGCAACAGCAGGATGTTGTAAAGGAAAAAGACGTTTTAGAGCGTTTCCATCATCGCTTCCCGGATGGCAGTTATGAGTTTAGATACGAATTGACCGATGGCACTGCGCGTTATGAACGCGGCTATTTCCTTATCTACGACAAAATAAAGACCCTTGTTGTGGTGGGCTATTACTCTTATCGTCAAACTGACGGCCGTTATATTACTGTTTTCTACAATGCCGATCAAAATGGCTACAGGCAGAATCAATGTGAGTATACAAACTACTTTATGGATGGTAGAAGCGTGAATGAGCTCAAAGCAAGAAATCGCAAAATTTTTAGACGATATTTGGTATTAAATTTATTGAAGCCGGTTACTGTACATGCACTTTGAGTAGAGAGATTGCTATGAATTAAAAAAATATTAACTCGTCGTTATGAATAATTAAAAATTATGTGAAGTAGCAAACTGGCTTACTCGTACTTACTTGTGCTACAACAATACAAATTGTATTTGCCAGCACGGGAAAAAAAAATTCGCCAGAAACTAGTTTTGATTCGATAGTAACTGATTCTGGGTATATATAAATGTCACTAAAAATTTTAATTTTTTAATCATTACTAAACACCCTTACACAATGGACCGCGATAACTAGTACACCAAAAACTAGTTATTAACCAAGTACATACAATATATAAAATTTTTTTTATTATTATAAATACTTAACATATTAAGGCCAAAAGTAACTAGCTCATCAAAAACTAGTTATGAACCAGTTCACTGAAACTATATCAAAGCATGTTTTTATATACATCAGCATTCCTTCAAATTAATGCAATATTCCATAAATTTACAACTGGCCCGAAAGAAACGAGTTGTGGTATAGTTAATATTTATTTATTTTTTTAATTAAAAAAATTATAAACAAATTCTTAATATGTTATTAACAAATTACTTTTCTTATCACAATATCTTTCAGCTATCACTCCACAAGTCTACCCGAATTTGCCACGTTCGATCGAAGTGCCACAACTCCACGAAAATGTCGATTATAACACAAACAGGCTGAACAAAGGACGCCAATAATTTTAAGTTTCGCAATACTTAACTTAAAATAAAAAATCCGCAAAGCAACAGTATTTTCTTAAATATTAATTTAAAAAAAACGAGTAACGAATACAAATGAGTAAAATATAGTGTGTACTTGAAATGTAATAAATTTTAAATCCGATACCGCTTTGGATTGCAGCTCATAAGTCAATTTCAATTAAGACTCACATACTCGAATGCTAATTAATCATCCTATTGTAACGTTATCAATTCGCCATAAAGCGTTACACGACTTCTGTCAGTGTTATCAAAATTCAGTTGTTGGTTTTCCATATAAAAAGTAAAGCTTTTAGTGTTAAAGCTTTTTCTTAATTATTGCTTAGCGGCGTACCGATTAGCGGTAAATGCTTTCAGTATATTAAGGTCGAAAGCGTAATTAACGCACAGGAGCATTTGTAAGTTTTTTTGGGAATTAGACTCTGGAAACCTGTAAATCTTCATAAATAAAAATAAATGAAAGTAGTCATCGGAGAATATTTTCAATTATTAAAAACGACAATAAAATCGTAGCATTCAGTTAAACCCTTCTCAGGTCAACATATTTTACGAAACACTGTTTTAAAGTTTAACGCTTTTAAAAAGAAACACAAATAATGGTTTTTAAATAATTTTAATTATTTAATATATCGACAGATATATAGATTTACGTATAATTTCTGACAAAATCGGTTCGAAATGAAATACTGTTTTTTTTCACAAATTCACTCCTCCAAAGCTTTACACTGATACACGCTTGAACAAGGTTGTACTGCAAATAAATTGAAATAAAAGACAACATTTTTCATATGCTACCGAAGAACTCTAATTTTCAATATAAAAAAACAACTCACCTCCAACAATGCGGTAGCCCTCCTCGTCGGCAATGTAATGAATTATGTTGAATTTATTTTTCTTCGGATCGACCGGCACCGAGTAGTAACCGGACTGCACATAAATTGTGTCCTTACCAATATACTTCTTCGTTATCTTCTTGTAATCGGACAAGCCGTTGCTCAGACGCAATCTTTGGCGAAAAGATAATCGTTACACTTTTTTATTTGGAAGAAAACAGAAAGTGCACGATAACTTACTTGTATTCGTTAATACCCTTATCGGAAAGGATTTGGTAATTCTCCAACACGATAACATCGTCACCACCACCACCGGGTTTCTGGTAACTTGGCGTGGTTGTGGATGACGGACGTTGGGTAGTGGGGCGTTGGGTCGTAGTGGGCCGTGCGGTAGTGGGTCGTGGATAATGTGGCAGCTGTGGCAACTGACTTATCGGGTATTGTGGATAATGTGGTGGTTTCGGACGTGGTGTGGGATACTGTGGATATAGTGTAGGATACTGTGGTGGGCGTGGACGTACAGTTGTGGGGCGAGTTGATGGTTTGGTTGTTGGATAATATGATGGATAATATGTTGGTCTTATTGGCAGTGGTGGAGGTGGTGGAAAAATACCAACAGGAGGCCATACCTCCTGTTCCTCAATGGAGTCCTCGTCATCGTGTAGTGGAAAAGCAGTGACTTGATCCTCATAGTAGGATAAATAATCGTGGTAAGCATTGTAATCTTCCATTTTTATGTCATTTTCTTGGATGGGGTGAACTGATGTGGGTTCTGAGGCAGCTGGAAAATGAGTTGATTGCACGCCATCATTGCCAACTACAGCTGATTGGGTATTAATTGCTGTTTTTTGTTCTTTATTGGATTGTGCCACTACGCCAACTTGCTGTTGGTCAACTGGTGACCCTGCCACAACTCCATACACGGTATTAAATGGCACTTGGTGTGTGGCCCAAGCAGCTACTTGTTCTTGAAATATTGACGGGCGTAAAGGCTTCTCCACGTTAGGTATAGCCTGTATACCGGCACTCAGCAATGTTGTAAGTATCAAAAATTTTAAAATCATTTTTCTTTTCCTCTTTTCAACAAATTTTATGTTTTTGTCCCGTTAGAATTTTTTTGCGTGCGCTCCGTGTAACTGTTGTCTGCTAAAAGATCTTCGGTCACTTGGCGTTGCCGTCTTTATACACTAACTCACTACCAAGTTCTTAAGACTTCTTTATATACCCACATATCTAACCATCGACAGCACCTTTACAAAGCTCATATACACGTCTGCATACATACACAATTTAAATGCAAAAAATAAAAAATAAGATAAAAAAATAATTGGAGATTTGGTTTACGATACACGCATATTGCATATCTTTTAGTTTTTAAGTATTCAGAGGCCTGTTGAGCATTTGCATATGTGTTGGCCGTGATTTGTATTTGCAGTACATTTGCTACCCCAAAATCAACAAAAATTACTTAAATTAAATAAGTCGATTTCCGTCAGCCGGTTTGGCTCATTTCACACAATTTCGGGATGGCGGCGTTTCCTTAACGCCCTTTTCACTCTTCTTTCGTGTAGACATACAAACACATACTCACTTACATACAGATATCGTATTTATTTCAATGGTTTCTTTAATCTCTTGCAATATTCTTGCCATCATAAAATTTACTGTTGAAGGCATTCTTATTTTTGACGATTTTTCATGTGATTTGCTTGCTTTGTTTGTTTGATCAAATCTGTTACCAGTTAAGATTCCACTAATTAAAATGTGTCAAAAGGGATTCAAGAACTTTGTTTACATATACGTATGTATTGTATTTGTTGAAGTTTTGAGGAGGCTCGTAAAATGACGTGGAGTGTTACCGTTAAAGCTCGTCGATCGCTTTCAAAACCGCGACTTGTGAAGCATTTTTATTGCATAAGTGAAAGCCGCAAAATTCTACAAATTTGTGTACCATATAATGACCGCAAAACGCTAATTATTTGGGATGAAATATGACTCAACGGAAAAATATTTATAAGACAAGATACAGCTTCAACTTTATTTCAGAAAATCATTGAAATTTGATAATTACTTTCGAATAATTTTTTCATATAAAGCATTTGCAACCTATTTTATTTAAATGTTATGGCCGCAGCCGCCGTGTAGCAGTTAGAGCTAGACCACCACGCAGGACCTGTGTCGATTACTTTACTGATTAAAAGGTAGTTTCTAATAACGGTTGGTACTCGCCAGGCATTGTCAAACGTTGAATTTAATTTTTTTCAATGGATAGCCACCCTATTTCTAATTATATTTTTATTTAAAAATATCTCAAATTTATCCCTTTGATACCCATGGTGTATTATTATACCCTGAACAGGATATATTAGGATTACCACGAAGTTTGTAACACCCAGAAGGAAATATCGATATAAAATCGATCACCATAAAACATAAATATAAAAGTGTGGCGAAACTCTCTGTATTTTTGTATATACACGAACTAGTCCCTCAGTTGTTGAGATATCGATCTGAAATTTTTCACACGTCCTTTGCTGCTCGTTGGTCGGAATCGCCGATAACGGACCACTATAGGTGCCATAACGATCTTTTTATATCTTTTTTTTTTGTTTTTACTTTGTTTGCGGATTGTAATTTTATAATAGTTCTCCAGTAAAAATTCGCGAAAGAACATTCATTTCCATTCGAACTTATCACCCTTTAATTGTTTATAAGTAAGTACAAGTGTGGTAATCAAAATATTATATTTTTATTTAAGAGATAGCGTTATTGTCCATAGTACTAGTGTTACGTGTCGCATCATTTGACAGTTTTTCGATTGATTTACTCAGTACGTTGTGAGCGCTCGTCAAAGATGGACACCAACAAAGAGAAAATTCGCTATATTTTACAAATTTTCTTCGATCAAAGCGAAAAAGCAGCCAAAGCGGCTGAAAACATTAATTTAGGTTATGGGCCCGATACTGTAAACGAACGTGTAGCACCAAAGTGATTTGCTAGGTTTCGTTCCGGTAATTTCGATGTCAAAGATGCACCACGCGTCGGGAGGACTGTCGTCGAAAATTGCGATAAAATCATGGAAATAGTGGAAACAGACCGTCACGTGAGCACTTATTTAATTGCTGAGGAAATAAAGATAAGCCAGAAAGCCGTGTGGAACCATTTGCATAACCTTGGATTCAAAAAGAAGCTCGATGTTTGGGTGCCACACGAGCTAACGCAAAAAACATGATGGACCGAATTTCCATCTGCGAATCGCTGCTGAATCGCAACAAAATCGACCCGTTTCTGAAGCGGATTGTGACTGGCGATGAAAAATGGGTCACTTACGACAATATCGAGTGCAAACGGTCGTGGTCAAAGCTCGGGGAAGCGGCCCAGACGGTGGGCAAGACCGGATTGACGGCCAGGAAGGTTTTGCTGCGTGTTTGGTGGGATTCGCAAACAATCATTTACTACGAGCTGCTCCCCAATGGCCAAACGCTCAATTCAGCCCTCTACTGTCAACAACTAGACCACTTGAAGGCAGCACTCATCCAGAAGAGACCATCTATGATCAACAGCGGCCGAATTGTGTTCCATCAGAACAATGCCAGGCCACACACGTCTTTGGTGACGCGCCAGAAGCTCCGGGAGCTCGTATGGGAGGTCCTAATACACCCACCTTATAGTCCGGACCTGGCACCAAGTGATTACCATATTTTCCTGTCCTTGGCGAACGCGCTTAATGGTGAGAAATTAGCCTCAAAAGAGGCCTGTGAAAATTAGCTCTCCGAGTTTTTTGCCAATAGGGACGCATCCTTCTACGAGAGGGGTATAATGAGGTTGGCATCTCGTTGGCAACAAGTTTACGAACAAAACGGCGCATATTTGACATAAATCGGACAAATGTACACAAAGTTATCATCTTTTGAAAAATCAATAAAAAACTGAACGAACTTTTTACTTTACCTAATATATACACACGTATGTATACGTATACGTAAGTATGTATGTTTGTAAATTAAAAGTTACATAAATATTACCTATCATTATTAAAAGCTCACCTCTTGTAAAATAAAATGCCAAAAGCATTTGTTGATGAACGCAATTCTGACAGTTTATTACCAAATTAATTACACGATCTTATCAATCACTTAAATTGTAGTCTGAACACTCAAGTAACATAATATATATATACATATCTACATATGAACGCATTTGTCGGCCATAAATAGAAATCGAATAAATCATTATTAATGGATGCTGACAGGTGCACCAAATTAGGATTGGCAGTGCGATCGCTATCAAAGCACTCACTTTGCAATGTTATTGAAATGACTGGTTGACGGATGCTTTAGCCATCAAAAAAGAAAGCATTTTTTCTTGCGCCTACAAACATCGAAGGGAGAGTAAATTGTAAGAGCGGAAAGCCGCGTCACACCTCAACATCTCCTCACAGATGCGATACCACAGCACATTCCACTACTGGTCGAGATCATTTCAATGAGCTATACATCCGAGTACGTTTGAATTCTTCACGTCAAGAGTGCTACACGAAACTAGTCAAGTAACTATCCCGCCAAAGAATGTCAACTCGGTTACATTCCCCAAATGTCTTTTGCCATTACAACAACAACCATGAAAACAGTCCTGCGAGTGCTTACAGATTCACAAAAAGCATAAATTCTCTACAAGCCATCTATCTAATAAATTACCGGTTAATTTCCCAACAACGCTACCAAAGATTTCTGTTAAAGTTTTAATGAATCTCTTAAGGCGCAATTAACAATTCTAACCGGAACTCTTGTGTACGTGTGATCGTTTATCCTCGTCTTTGGCAAAGACCTTAGGAGTAGCACGGCGTGTATGTGTTAGTTTCCGCACTAATCTTGCAATGTATTGCAGTTTCGGTAGCCTTGACTTGCTGGGTTATTAGGGTAAGAATGGCTAAAATGTTGAATTAGAGAAATAAGCGACATTAAAATACTTTGTTAACTTTAAGATGATTTATTTCCAGTGTCAACAAAACAAGATGAATTATCTTGGATTATTTTAGAAATGTTCTATCGTCTACTTGAATATTATTTCACTGCAGAATAAACGATGGTTAACCGCAAGCATTTTTGCGCTAAGTATATATGCCACTATGTTTCGTTTAACAAAGTACATATTAGAGTTCGCGATATAGACATTCATAATTATATATTTACCTTTGTCGAAAAAAAGAGAAGATACTTTATTAAGGTACTTTTCCAGCATAATCTGGTAGTTTTAAAGATAAACCTTTACTGATTATTCTACTCAGTAACTAATCATTATGTTTCAGAGGTTCGTCTAAAAATTTTAAAAATAAATGTTGAGATAATCGAGGCTTTTACTCTAATTCGGAAGGTTTTTAAAAAATGTGGTATTTTATATCATTTATGCAATTACATTTCTGTGTAGCTACATACAATCAGCTAACACGTGTTCAAGTTCAAGAGTGATTTTCACACTATAAATATGTTCTCTAATATAATTATTATTTTAAATTTGGAATTTCTTGAGCAAATCTTTTATGTGTTTTTGTCACCAAAGAAGAGTTTGAATTAGAAACAAAAGTCTTTTAGTCCAATATTTTTCTCGAAGCGGTATTATTTCACTGTTTGATGGTTAGAAATATGCCAAACAATACCTAGAACTGATTTAAACAAAACATTCTGATTATCTAACAAATAGTAAAAGCGCTTCTAAGATTGCAGCAAAATATATTATATATTGTAATTCAAATTATCATTCTAATTTGCTTAATATTAATTTATTGATATAAAATTGTTTTAGAATATTTTCCATTTAATTTATGTAAGTTATAGAAAAATATAGTCTATACCAGAGAATGTTAATGAATAGAGAAGGCGCAAATGTTAAATCAAATCTTTTTACTAGCTTGTAATTCCAGATGAGGGAACATCGAAAAATATAACTTCGAAAAAGAAAAATATACCACGCAATGTGCGAAACGCAATAAATAGACACAACTAATATTACTAAATGAAAATCGTTACGCATACCTCTTTAGATTTATGCTTTCAATTTCTATGATATGATAAAATGTATAATAATGAAAAGCCTTATGAATTATAAAGCTGTAGTACCGGTAAAAACCCCAGAGTTTAAAATAAAATAAACATTTAATATGCAATTTTTCCAACTTATGTATGTGCGTTGCGTGAGCAATTGCTCATTAAGCAAAGGATGACAATATTTATAAATATATATAGAAATAAATTTTAGCACTGCTAACATTTGCACCTTCTCTATTCATTAACATTCTCTGGTAATATTAAAGAACAATCTGTTGCCACGTATAAATTTTTAGTCCATATGAAAACAAAACCGTTGTTATCGACGCACTGCTTTATCCACAAAACTTATTTTTTACGTTATTACTCGCTGAAGAGAATTTAGCACGGAACCGGACGAACGGCAGATAAACATATGTGTATGGGCAAAAATTTGAACTACCAAACCACAACCGAAATCGAAATTTCAAAACAATGCACATTCATAATAAATGATATTACCGCAAATTTTAAGACTAAGCGTACACAACACGAAAAAAATATTTTTTAAACACACCCACAAGTTTAACAAATTATTAATTTTCACATTTAAAAAAGCAATAATTGCAAATTAAATAATTTAATTTTAACAAGATTGTTTAATTATTTCCCGTCAATATCTGAAAACACTTTTTACCTGCACACAGCTTAATCGTCAAACGAAAAAGTAGGTGGACTACACCCTCTAAAAACACCACGATGAAATTTGCATAGGCAGCAGTGGTAAATCTACGCTGTTTTATCGAGTTTATATGTAAGAAATCTAATATAATTTACATATACAATATAATTTTAAAAAAATATGAGATTATTAAGAATTTTATATTTATTTAATATGCCAAATCGAATAAATCCATAATATATCAGACGCTAAAATTAATTATAAAATGCAGCATTTTTTAAACGGTTCAGAAGATTTTGGATTTTTTATTTTTTTAAGCACTTTCACTAAAAGAATTACTAATTGTCACTGAAATTATTTATATATACTCACTTTAATTTTTACTCAATGCAAACGCGACAAAGGAAGCATTCTTCACTTCCTTATCCTCAAATCTATCAAATTTACACACACATTCCTATCACCCGTTAAAAAAATCTCAGAAAGAGAGCAATTTGCCTTATTTTGCAAACGCGAATTTGTTGTTGTGAACGCGATATTTTAGAGAATATATGCGTCATATAATATTAAACTGCACTAATATATTTATAACGGAAAACATACATAAATGCTATCTTGAACATTCAGCACTTGTAATGCAGGCGTCACTTGTTTAATATTTATAAATATTTTGCTGTGAACTTCACGCACTATATTACTCACGGGTTATTTCAAATACGGACAAGAATCATAGAATACAAGATTACAACATGAATTAACCGTTCCTTTTTGGTTTAGGCTGTGACAATTGTTACAAAATCTAATTGCACTATACACTTAACTGACAAATGGTTGCTAACCTGACATTGAGAAAACCTAAAATTGTTTCACTAGCATATGATTATGATAATAAGTATATTTCACAAATTAACAAAAGTGCTTACATTTTTGTTTACAATTTACATGCTGTTCTATGCTTCTTCTTCTTAGCTCAAAAGATTTACTTCACACGATGGCAGTTGGCGTAATCTTGTATTCTATCATTCTTGGCTCCATAATTGAACCAGAGAACTTAAAACAGGGATAATGGGATGCCCAATTCTTTCCAGTGTGAGAGCAGAGAACGTATATCATGATGATATACGTTCTCTGGTGAGAGCACCTCAAAATTAGCGTTTCTTTTAACATTTTCCATTGTAGCCAGATCGGAAAAATAATAATTTTTGGGAATTTAAATTAAAATGACCATCATTTATTAAGATTAAATATTATTATACATGTATTCGTTAAACATATGCAGAAACTTTTTATACTTTTTTTTTGTAATTTTGTGATATATTAAACAATTGATTTTTGAACTTTCAATACGTAATCAAAAGAATAAATGTATTAGCTCTCAATTAATAAATGCAGCACAAATCTGTAAACATACGCTCTCTTAATTAACCAACTGACGATTATTGAAGAGAATATAATATGTGAGCAAAACTGGGCATATTGATATGCCATTTGAAATATATTCCCTTTTATTGAACTATTATTTATTATTATACCCTGAACAGGGTATAATAAGTTTGCCACGAAGTTTGTAACACCCAGAAGGAAACGTCGGAGACCCTATGAAATATATACATAAATGATCAGCATAATGAGCTGAGTTGATTTAGCCATGTCCGTCTGTCTGTCTGTCCGTCTGTCTGTATATATACAAACTAGTCCCTCAGTTTTTATGCTATCGATCTGAAATTTTGCACCTGTCCTTTTCCAACAAAGAAGCTGCTCATTTGTCGGAACGGCCGATATCGGATCACTATAGCATATAGCTGCCATACAAACTGAACAATCGGAATCAAGTGCTTGTATGGGAAACTCTTTTATTTGACGAGGTATCTTCACGAAATTTGGCATGCATTATTATTTAAAGCATTTATCTAATATCCGAAAAAATTGTATAGATCGGATGACTATAGCATATAGCTGCCATATTAACTGAACGATCGGAATAAAGTGCTTGCATGGAAAATTTTTTTATTTGACGAGGTATCTTCACCAAATTAGGCACGAGTTATTGCTTAAGGTTGTTCTAAGTTCTCTAATTGAACCTTCGCTATAATATACGTTCCCTGATGATATACGTTCTCTGATATCATATGCTATGATAGGTAAAGGGTGAGTGTATTTATATAAGAGTGAAGTAAACAAGTATGATTTAAAGAAGAAATAAAAATAATACACGGCATATTTGATTAAAATACAGTTAGTATTAAATAATAAATAATTTCCTTTGTTTACATATTTAAAACGTTGTAATGGTTGCATAGTTGGCAACGCGAGATCTACTTCTGCTCTGGCAATACCGAAAATAAAGTCTGCTAAATGTCAAACAATACGTAAATAAAATTGTCAAACGTCAAACATTCGCGTCTCGCTTTGATGTGAGATTTTTCGTACGCATATTTCCATAGATTGAATGAAATTTAAACAAACAAAAATTAAAGAACTATATTTCCCGCCTGCATTGTGAAAGAAGTACAAAGCAGAGGCGTTAATTAAAATTACATTGTGTATTAATAAAAAGATACAAGAGTGAAGTCTCTCGTTTAAGGGCGCGAGGTGCGGCAATTTAGCGGCCGAACAGTTGCAGTTGTGTTAGTGGATTTATTTGTGCGACTGCTACCAGTGACCGTTGTCTGCAGCTTGTCGGTCGCTGTACTCGTACTTTAGCACTTTAAGGCGGTGAACGAAAAATCGATTGTGACGCTGACTGGTGGCCTTTCAGTTTGTCAGCCCAACTACTACTATTATCCGTCTGTAAGTACATCTGCCTCTCGAACAGCCCTCTTCTAGCGGTTTCCGTACATATATTACAATCATAACGAAAGGTGTGTAATCTTGCGACAATAAATAAAACGGGACAAAGTGAAATAAACCAAATACGAAAAAATATATGTAATGTATAACATGCTTTAGTACTATAAAAACTCCGTGCTTATCGTTGTTGCTGAGATCGAATGCGGAAAAGGTTTATCTTTCACCCCGAAAAAAAACGTCATAGCATTTGAGTTACTAGACTGTATATTTGATAAGGTTTGTACTTAGTTGATAAGTTCTATATTCATAACTATGTAATATAAACTGTGACTCCGAACACGTCCGTCGCATTTAAACCCGTCGGGCTATAGAATAAGCTAGCGATTCGTACCGCTTATGAAAAAATAATTAAGCTTCATCGTACCTTATACTGATCAACCGTGTTTTGTAAACGCAAATGTTGCTTATTCGAAAAAAAAACTCATAAGGTATATAAAATATTATTGTACTAAATTAGGTGATTAGGTCATGTGAAACACAACGTTTTTTTATTTATGTATATTGATGCCGGAAAATGTAAAACATTAATCTACCTGCCCAACAACAAAAATTGCGCTCTTGACTTTGCTTTTTCTATACTAGGCGCAATTAATATATGTACATTGTATGTACATACGTGTACACATATAAGTGCATATACTCCTGCATAGCTATGTACATAGCGTTTTCAGATTTATATTAGTTGCACATTGTACTGGGATCGATCAATGCCAGTTTATTACATATTACTTTCTTTAATTTGCATAATTTTATATGTATGTATATACCTACAGTAAAGTTTATCTATATTTGATAAAATAAATTCAAGGAACAATAAAAGTTGTGACCTTATGTAATAAAACGTGTTATTATGCATTTCAAATTGACTAAAAAAATTTATTAAATCTGCACTGTTACGATTCCAATATATTTCTGTGAAAATTCGCTTTCTTAATCAGTAAGTGGACGACCATAAAATTACTCATGAATGTTTTACACAGGCGGAGATGTGGAGGATTATAAATTAAACAATGGCTAATTTATTCAAACATTAGTATGACAAATACTTCAGTTAATACTTATGTATGTATCGATGTGCAACCTTCACAAGGCTGTTTAAAAAAAGCACATTTTAACAAAATAATTATCTCTGTTGTTATTGTGTTGAACTGCAATAAACAGTTAATTGGTATATGTAAATAAATAATATCAGGTGTTGTAATATATAACTGGAATATGATAGTTCCAATAAGTATCCTAGTAAATAATTCCTTATCTCCGCTACTGCTTAGTACGATTGGGGAAGCATTTATTACCTTCAGCACAACTTGGAGGCAGACGTACACATACATATGTACTTATGTATATATTTGTACGTTTATACATTCAAGTGCTGTGCAATTATCAGGTGTTAATATATGAGTGTGCTGTGTTATCAGGTAACTAATTCCAGGGCGATTGCTAATCAAGCATGCCATTTCAGATATCATCGCACAACCTTATGCACCTCACAGATGTCCAAATTTGTTTGCATGTTCATGATGACGTACAAAAATCTAAAAGCATGCCAATTGTTTTCTAAAAGTGTAGAGGCGTATTTCACAAAAAACAAGACATTTAGTAAAAAGGTTTAAAGTGTTTGATAAACATTATGCAGATTTAAAATAATATCACGAGCAAATGAGTCATGCACAACTTATTATTGAACTTCCAATTCGGTAAACAAAAAGATTATTAAAATTTGACAATATGTACCTATGCCTACAATAAAATCGGTTATGTAAATCGGATGACAGATGTTATAGTTACAGCAATTTCATTGAAAGAAAAAGTATGCAAATGCTCCTTTGTAACAAAGGAGCAAGAGCAAATATAAAATTTTGTGTTAAACTTAAAAAAAAAAAAAAATTTTTGAGACATTCGAATGGTCGGAAAAAGTTATGGTGATGATTGTGCAAGTTTATACGTGACTTACACACTTTAATCGTGTTGAATTGGTTAAAAAGTCTAAGAAAATATTGCGAATTTATCTACGAAAAAGTTGGCTGAGGAAAAATCAAAATAAAAGCTTTTGTGTTTGTGCTGGATTCACACTCATTTCAAAAATATTTACAAAAAAAATTGTGTCTTTAAAAGTATGCCAACCGTCTGAGAACACAACCGCGACTATTTGAAATTACAAATTTGTGCACGGCGTGCATTATATAACTTAAAAATGCTTATTAGGGATTTTCATTTTGAACCGAACCGAACCATTTTTTATGAGTCGTTTCTGGTTCGGTTTTTGCAGTTTAAAATAAAAATGGTTTGGTTCGTGCTTCGGTTCAAGGCCAGAAAAAGAGGCGGTTCGGTTCAAAACCGGTTTGCAGCCATGAAGATTTGAGTAAAAGAAAGCTCTGTGCGCGATGTGTTCTTCATTAATTAAATCAAAACTAAGTAAACGAGCATTTGACAAAAAATTAAATCTAATGGATGGAACCTATTTTGAATAAATAATAATTTTCATAGACGCATTTTATTATCATGTATATCCAAAAAGTTCGACTTTTTTTAGGACACACAACACAGTTTTTCTACATCTTAAAATATTTCTTAATATAAAGTACACACATGTAAATACTTATGTCACATTTTGATATTACTGCACGGATACAGCCCAACTTTCCACAATTAAGGTAATATATTGTGTCTATATTGTTGTTGTCATGCTTACATTCTCAAGTTGAAAATTGGTTAATAATATAATGAAATTACTGTTGTTGTACTCTTGCGATTGGATTTCAAAAGTCATATTTCTTATCATATGACCGCACTCTGCAAAGCTAAAGCACTTACTTTCTAGTGCAAACAAGGTGAGTCATTCAACTGCATATGTGCTGTTGTTTGTGCATATATAAGGAAATCCGTTCTATATATACGTATGTATGTCTACATCAATTGAAATAACAAAAGCAAGAGTCGTAGTTGTGATTCATATGTACCTATGTGATTATCATTTATAAGTTTTTATTATATAAATATATTTAATAAACGTCATTATGCTTATAATTAAGTACATATGTATAAATAATATGCGTGTGTTTACTGATAACAAATCCCATATAGACGGTTGTGTTTGTATGTGTACCGGCTTCTTTAGGGTAGGGTACCGGTTGGGGTTCATTAAGACGAGGATTTACAGATAGTGTTTGAATACAATATAAATGATTTTTTACAAAATTTAGTTTTTTTCTTATTATTAATTTCTCTAGAGTAAAATATATGAAAGAGCTACATTTTTAAATTAATTTTTTATTATTTCCAGCAGCTTTGCAAAATATTGAGTTGCAACAATAAGAAAAAGTGTTAATTGCGTATACTATGCAATAGAAAGTCGTTCATTAGCTCATTTCTGATTTCAGTACAACCGAAGAAAGTGCACACGGACAAACATAAAATATAACCCATTGATTGGGTTATAATACAAACTGATCGATCAAAATCAAGTCCTTGTATGGAAAACTTTTTAATATGTGAAGGGGATTATATCTTCGGTGCAATCAAGGTTAACGTTTTTTCTTGTTAAAACAAGAACTTTTCGTTTGATTCTACGCAGATACGAGCAGTTGTATGTTGCAATAACGATCGCATACTACATACATCTATTGTACCTACACATTTTCGATATACACAGTTTAGCAGCAAGCCTGACCCGGTCTATTTTTGATAGGCGTACGTTGAACTTGAAATAAACCTGTGCCAGTGCTGACAATGATCAACGATCACCGTGGCCGCTGCACAGCATAGAAAATATTAAAAACTTGGGCGGCGTATCCCCACACGCTCTTTTCGCTAATACTCGCATACCCATAGTTTTCTCTATATGTATATATAATATATTTCTGCTGTATTTTCGTTATTTGCTTTTGAATTGGATTCTTGATCTGTAATATCAATACCCATTGTTATTGTTATTGTTAAATTAGGGGCTGGTGTTAAAATTTAAGAGAAGAACATTCAAATTTTCAATATGTACTATAGATTGAAATCGCATGCCAACAAGGCTTTCCGCACATTTGTACTTATGCGTTTGTGTACTTAACATACTTAATGCGGGGAAACTTTCGTATGTATGTACATATGTATATATATATATGGGTACACCTGTATTGGTTAACATGCCATTGTGTTTGCGTTTATTTTGCGATTGTATGCCAGTTGTCCTCATCTATTGTATGGTTATCAATATAAATACGTTTGTATGTAAATGTGTATATTAGGATGGATTGCTCAGTAGATTTTTGAATCGATTTAAGAATTAAGGAAAACAAAATATTTAATTTGTTAATATTAATATTTAAGTTTTGATTATAATTCGTTTTATAAAAACAAGAAAAACATTAACTTCGCTTGCACGGTTTGTATGGCAACAACATGCTATAGTGATCCGATATGAACACTTTCTTTAAAGATTGTAGAATTACCTTGGACAATAATCTATGCAAAATTTCATGAAAATAGCTTTCCAAAAAAAAAAAAGGTTACTAAAAAAGAACTTGATTTTGATCGTTCAGTTTGTATGGTAGCTATATAATATAGTCGTTTGATATTGGCGATTCCGACAAATGTGCAGCTTTTTGGAAAGAAAAGGACGTGTGCAAAATTTCAGATCGATATCTCAACAGCTGAGAGACTATTTGGCGTATATACAGGCAGACGAACATGGTTCGACTGAACTCGGCACGCTGATCATTTTTATATATTTTTTTTATAAGGTTTTCGACATTGCCTTCTGGGAGTTACAAATTTCGTGCCAAACTTAGTATACCATGCAATATTCAGGTGGTAAATATTTTATTAAGCATACTCTTATATCTGGATTTCATCAGTAATTCAATATATAATTGAAATAATCTACTAAAAATCTTGTAAAATAGAAAATTTATAAATCTCATATATAGTTTTTTTTGATTAAGAATGAATTATCAAACCTACTTATTGCTTCCAGGCACTTGAATAGATTCTACTCGTAAAATACAATATAAATTTCAGTACACTCTAATGTTTCATGAATGTAGTATATAATAAACACAAATGCCAGACAAAAAAAAGAAATTTGTATATGGCACGAGCGCCGCCGTTGGCAATTCGCGTGTAGCCATTTAAAGCGCACCACACATATTGACCTTACAATTAATTTGAACCTTTAAATAATATTCGCGTTTTTTTTCTCCACCACTAGCTTATTTCAAATATAA